TTACATCCATACACAAGCTGACTCACAGCATGAAGTTTCACTGAAGCCATGGCATGGCCACAGTGAATTCAATGCAAAAATAATAATCTCAATTTATATAGAGACCACCCTCAGTAGCCTCTACCTACACAATAAAATAGGAAAGAAAACTTGTGGGATTATCTAACAATCAGCCTAAAAGCACAAGCAGAGTCTGGAGAAAGGGTATTAATGTCTGCAATTCTTGACCAGCTCTAGAAAATTCTATCAGCAATAGATGGAATTTTCTATTCAATTACATAGGGCAATCTAAAATATATAAAGGTAATTACAAAACTTCTGTTGGATGAATTTTAGACATGCTTTTACATGTTTTTAGCATTGCTCCCTGCAGATCCATCCCATACAGATCAGGTTATCTACAGATTAAGTGCCTGGAAACAAATGAGGTTACAATATGTAATATGTTCAAAAACCTGGAATTAATTTTGCAACTTTTGCTAACAGAATTAATAACACACAGCACAACTGGCCCAACATCTATAGATCTGATTGTAATTACTACTTCTACTTCGACAACTTTCAATCTACTACCACATGTGTTTCCATTGATTCACGACAATGGAAACATCACTCTGGCTCAATACTGTTAAATGCCATTTTCAGAACAGGAAATACAAGCTTTGAAGTGACCAGTTGTCCTGGTTTCAGCTGGGATAGAGTTAATTTTCTTCCTAGTAGCTGGCGTAGTGCTGTGTTTTGGATTTAGTAGGAGAAGAATGTTGATAACATGCTGATGATTTAGTTGTTGCTAAGTACTGCTTATGCTAGTCAAGGACTTTTCAGCTTCCCATGCTCTGCCAGGCGCACAAGAAGCTGGGAGGAGGCACAGCCAGAATAGTTGACCCAAACTGACCAAAGGGCTATTCCATACCATATGACGTCATGCTCAGTATATAAACTGGGGTGGGGCTGGCCGGGGAGCAGCGATCGCTGCTCGGGAACTGTCTGGGTATCAGTCGGCGGGTGGTGAGCAATTATTGTGCATCACTTGCTTTGTATATTATTATTACTGTTATTATTCTATTGTTATTATTACTACTACAACCACTATTTTACTTTATTTCAGTTATTAAACTGTTCTTATCTCAACCCAGGAGTTTTTCTCACTCTTACTCTTC